TGTGACTGATCTGTTGATGGTTTACTTTGCTGCAGACAGTGTTATAAACTGTGAACCGTGCTTGTCATCAAGATCTGACTTGAAACTCCCCTCCCTTCTTTATTCGTAGAGATTTTACCACATCTTTACACCCCTGTGTGTATCCCACTGGTATTCCCCAACCTTTTGGCCTTGTGAACCCTGACAATAAAGCGGTGTCTTTAGATCTGTTCAGACATGTCCTCCTCTCCACTAATCTGATGCACACTCTCCAGTTGAAGTCGTCATGGCAGTCTTGTAACATTCTCAATCAGCTGGACCTTCTGCATCACTTTCAGCACAAATCTAAACTGCATGTTGTCACGTTCATGAACAGACACACACAAACGACATACTTCAAGTTGTGTGAAACGATTTTTTCACATTTCAGCGCCAAACTTGGTCCTAAAACACAGCAGAAGACACATTTTGCACGGCAATCAAGCTTTGCATAGTTCATACAGACACGCAGTCAGGACGTCACAAGGCTCTTTCTGTCCAATCGTTCACTGCTTAAGTCCAGCCCACCCACTCAGCGTGCTTTATAACTGAGGCAGCGTTCATTCATTCTGTCAGCTTCACGCTCACCACATCGCTGCTACACCAGCCTCTACAGATCGACAGTTATCCCCCTCCTCCCGTTAAGGTTCACATTCATAATTGTGGTTGTTGTTGTATTGTGTGGGACTGTAGAACACAGATGGTTCATGGATAGTTCAACCTGTGGCTCTGCTGGGAGGTTTGTGATCTCAGGGACTGTCTGTGTCATGCTTGCTCAGATTGTTCCAGAGCATCACTTGAGCAGAGTCATCGCCAAACTCAAACTCATGTCATTCCAAAATAAATGCTTCAATCTGACAACGTGTCCTGTCTGAAAATGAATACTCCACTGTTAGTTATTTGGACAGTTTAATAAACTGCTATAAGATTATGTTTATTCTTTTGTTTATTGGTGCATTATTATGCTTTATACCATGGTCAGTGAGAATTCTATGGCTAACTGGCGTGCATTATTTTCGTGTATACGCACACGTAGTTATATCACGCCGCTCTGGTCGTCATCATAGCAACACGCAAATCAGCTGGCGTAGATCAGCTGTGTCTTGACATGTGCATGAGAGAAACGCGATAAAACATGGATTTCGAGGTTAATTTTAACATTTTTGGCAGAAACAAAACGGCTTACAATGCACAGCT